GGTGACGGTGGTGACGGTGACGGTGGTGGTGACAGTGGTGGTGGTGGTGATGGTGGAGGTGGTGGTGATGGTGGTGGCGGTGGTGGTGATGGTGGAGGTGGTGGTGATGGTGGTGGTGATGGTGGTGATGGTGGTGATGGTGGAGGTGGTGGTGACGGTGGTGATGGTGGTGACGGTGGTGACGGTGGTGACGGTGGTGACGGTGGTGGTGACGGTGGTGGTGACGGTGGTGGTGACGGTGGTGGTGGTGACAGTGGTGATGATGGTGATGGTGGTGGACATGAGGATGGTGGTGGCGATGGAGGCACCAATGAAGCAGGGGCCATGAACTATCAGCAGCCTCCGTAAGGCCCTGTGTCCTGTTGTTGTCTAACCTGACTGTTTGGGCCCCTGCAGCCCCTCTGCAGGCCCTCTACCTGGAGGTGGCCCCTGCCATTGGCATTGATCAGGACTTGAACCTCACAGCTGTGCTGCTGCCCCTGAACCCCAACCTCACTGTCTTCTACTGGTGGATCGGCCACAGTCTGCAGGTGTGTTGACCCAGGTTCCCCTTTCTACAGGGTCCTGTGTAGGGTTCAGAGTTGGGCCAGTGCTGCCTAAGTATCCAGGAGTGGAGACAGGGTAGGAAGTGCTCTCCATGCCTGGGGCTCCTCCTGATGCCACTGAGAGGCCCCACCCTAGGCTCGTCCTCCGGGGCCATCTGCCCAGTAGACACAGGATGGGTAGAAGCAGTGCTTCCCTATTCCTTGGAAAGGGATGGGACCAAGTGATTGACTTGAGTCAGGATGTGAGAGGGTCGCAGGAGGAGCAGGAAAGGTGTGTAACAGCATCTGCGGCCAGGACTCCTTTTCCAGTGGGGGTGGTCAGGCTTTGGGGCAGAGAATGACCCTGGCACGGCCAGGAGCTCTGAAGTCTTGCCCTGGGAGCCATGGATGGCTCCTGAGCAGGGGCCTGCCACTTGAGCAGAGTGCCTGCAGAGAGGACGATGCCACCATGCTCGCTGGGCCTTGAGACCCCACAGAGGGACACCTGACACTTTTTCAGCAAACAGCTGCCCCATGTCCCTGAGCAAAGACCCCTATAGCCACTGGGGGCCCCAACACAGAGGGCTGCGGGCTCAGGACACGTGTCCAGCAGCTGCTGGGCTGGCCTGAGCCCCACTCTGCCCGCAGCCCCTCCTCTCCCTGGACAACTCAGTGGCCACGCGGTTCGCGGTCCCAGGAGATGTACGTGTGACAGTGCAGGCAGCCTGTGGGAGCTCAGTGCTGCAGGACTCCAGGGTGGTCCGTGTGCTGGGTAAGTCCCCACCCCAGGGCACAGTGCAGCCAAGATGTCCTCGGCACCCCGGGTGGCGCTGGGCTGGGAGAGAGGAGCAAGGGCACAGTCACAATATGGCTTTGGCACCGTCTTCCTGATTCTCTGGGCTCAATTTCCCCAGCTGCATGTGAGAGACACAAACATGAATGAGGATGTGAGGCTGCCCGCAGTGAGACCCAGGCCTGGACCCTGGTCTGGGTGCCCGTGGCTGGTCTGGGGACTCACCAGCCATGCTGCGCATAGGAGAACTCCAATAGGCAGCAGCCAGCAGTCCGTGTGCACAGACAGCGTATGCCAGCAGGCTACCCGGCAGAGCCCTCCCGCTCCAGAGGGGCCACCATCGGTTGGTCCTCCCCACTGCTGAGCCAGTAGCTCACAGGGGTCATCGCCACCCTTGCTATAGGGCCCTGGGGCTCCTGGGGACTCTAGAGATCTCTGAGCCACAGAGCCTGGGAACCCAGGAGAAGATCAAGAGAAGACCTTTGCTCTAAGGGACTCTTAATCTGGTACAGGACCATTCACAGCCCAAGGCTCCCTCAGGAGAGGCACTGTATACGCCCTTGTGAGGGGAGGGCCGGCTCTCAGGACAGTGTGTACCACGCCACGCCTCCCTCCCAGGTCTCTGTCTCAGCCAGTCATTGTCGTTGTCAGAGTTGTGGTTGGTACGCAGCAGCCAGAGCGTGGCCCCCCTGGGGCAGCTGCACCACCGATGGCTCACGGGGAAGCCCCTGTTCTTCAGAGGCAGAAGCAGGGCACTCACTCTCTGGCCCGCTTCAGAAGGGTGGGACAGTGGCCAGGCTGACCGCGCTGACCGGCACCTCCGTCTCTGCTGTCCTCAGACCAGTTCCAGGTAGTGCCTCTGCGCTTCTCCCACGAGCTGGATGCCTTCAACCCCAACACGCCTGAGTGGAGGGAGGACGTGGGCCTGGTGGTCACCCGGCTGCTGTCCAAGGTGACCCTGGGCAGGACAGGGTCAGTGGGAGGGCAGGCTGAGGCTGGGCACCACCTCAAGGAGGTGGACAGGACGGCGGTGTCCACACCTACCTCAAGCGCTGGCTGAGGGCACCTGTCTGGGTCCAGTCCCCGCAGGGGGATCTTCATTCTCTGGTCAAGTTTCTCTTCTGAGCTGGATTCTCAGAGAGAGCTTCCAAATGTGGCTGCTGCTTAGAGGCTCCCAGGAAGCAGAAGAGGCCATCTGGGTGGGCGCAGGGCACCCCCAGCAAGAGGGTCACAGGCTGTGGGGCCATCTGGCCATTTTTTCCCTCATCCTGGGCTAGCAAAATTGTCCTGGGCATTGAAGGGTGAATAGGCAGCCTTCAGATGGCAGTGTGTGGGGCGGAGTTCACCAGGAGGCAGAGAGGCTACCGCAGCAGAGCCCTGGGGGTGTGGCCTAGAGGGGGGGGGGACAGCGGAGCCACGCAGGGGCTGGAATCAGAGGACACAGGAGGCAACGCAGGGTGCCATGATTCCAGGCCAGCAGTGCTGGTGAGGGGACAGGAATAGCACCCCACCTGACACGGGAGGAAAGGAGGTGTCCCCGGGCGCTGGCATGTGGCAGGAGACAGGGAGATGAAGGGGATCCAAGTGCTCTCCTCTGCAGGAGACTGCTGTCCCTGAGGAGCTGCTGGTGACCGTGGTGAAGCCAGGGCTGCCCACTGTGGCTGACCTGTATGTGCTGCTGCCCCCATCCAGGCCCACGAGGAAGAGGAGCCTCTCAAATGACAAGGTATATCCCATAGCCACCAGATGCCAGTCGTCCTGCAAGGCCACAGGCTGGAGACCCAGTAGCTAGTTGGGGTCACCTTGGGGTACATCCCATAAAGACCTTTTCCATGCCATGCCATAGTCCGATTCATGGCGCTGGCCTGTGCCTTGTGGCCCTGCCCTCTGGAGGTCATGTAGCCTCTAAGGTCACTGAGCAGAGGGGTAGATCACTTTAGGGATGCCCTTGCTTTTCCCTCCTACCTTATTGACTTGAGTTGGTCACATGACCTTAGCCTGGCTGCAAGGGATGCTGGGAAATACAGAGGTCCAGGAGACACTTGGCAGTAGGGACCCTGGACAGGGCAGCCTCCATGGAGATAGCAAGCATCTCACTACACAGGACAATTGCTGAGCAAGAACCCTTGGCAGGGATGAAGTCCTGCAGCGTGACGGGCATGGAAGGGGAACGCCAAGGTGAATCCCGTCCCTTTGCACCCACAGTAGCCACTAATGTCAAAAAGCAGACAGTGCAATGCCGATATTGGAAAGGAGGGATCAGACCCTCACACTCAAGGATGGGGACAGTGGGGGCAGAAAGCAGCCCTGCGCTGTCTCAGAGGGTTAAACCTGGAGGAGCCCGGTGGCCTGGCAACTCCACCTCCAGCTTATGCTCAAGAGGAATTATACACAGTCATGGTCCCACACGTGTGACCCAAACAGTGCACTGCCCAAGAAAGGAAGGACCCTGATGGCCATTGGCAGTTGAGTGTGAAGAGTGCAGCCCATCCGTGGAAGGAGCAAGCCCCTCCAGCTGGAGGAGTGACGCCCAGGTACACGTGATGAAGCGAGACCCACGCAAGGGATCTGATGGAGGGGCCAGCGCCTGGGCAGAGAATGCAGGCCTGGCACCCAGTGGATGCCACCCCTCAGCATGGACGTGGGGCAGAAGGAACGGCAAGAGCCACAGGGGTAGCACGAGGCCTGGGAACACCAATGGCAGCACTGTGCACAGCCATGGGAGAAGGGAGCTGAGAGCGCAATCCCACCCAGGACTAACTACCAAGACGACAGGCTTAACCCAGGGGGCTGAAGACCAGTGCCCAGAACAAAGACACCGAAACAAAAGCAGAAGGAGTCGTGGTGTGGCAGGTCGCTCCACCCGCGGCCATTGTCTGATTCCTGGCAGCCCTGGAGAGAGTCCAGTGGCATTCTTCACAGAAGTAGCAAAAGGTTTCATAAAAATCACAAAACCACAGATGACTCAGAGTAGCCAAAGATATCCTGAAGGAAAGGAACCCCACTGGGTACATCCCCCTACCTGACTTCAAACCACTGGCACGGTGACCAACCACAGGTGCCGGCAGGATGCAGGCCTGAGAAAGGGGACAGAAGTGACATGAATGCACAGAAGCAAACCCATGTTGAGGTCGGCTGACGGTCAGCATAGGCATGGAGAGCACCCAAGGGGGCGAGGTGTCTCTTCAGTGTGTGGTTTGGGGAAACAAAGTCCCTGTGTGGCAGCAGGAGCCGCCCTCCGCTCACACCATGCCCAGAAGCCAATGAACTGGACCAGGGCTCGGATGGGCTGGAAACTGCCAAGCTGCTGCGAGTGGGGAAGCGGGCGCAAAGTGCCGCTGGGGCTGGACCCAGAGCACAGCCTCAGAGCAGGCACCGGGAGGCGGGCTTCTCAAGCCAGAGGCATCCGCACAGCGGGACTGTGGGGTGACACAGCAGCCACGGGCTGGGAGGGGATCTTGGCGGCTGGACATCTGCGGAGGGGCGGCATCCAGATCCCACGGGGCGTGCACACAACTTAACAGCAAGAGAACAGGCAGCCTGGTGCAGAGGCAGGCACAGTGCCTGCGCAGCCGCTTCTCAGGGAAGAGACTGGGACCCAACAAATGCGGGGAAGTACAAATCAAAGCCATGGCAGGATGCCACCCTGCTGCTTGGTGGCCAGCATGAGTTGCCTGGGGGCCAGTGGGGTGTGGAGGAGGGGAGCGCTCTGGGGCATGGAGCTCAGGGACAGCAGTCTTGTTCCAGGCCGAGGTTACCCATTCACCCTGAGCAGGAAGTAGCTTGGGAAACCCAAGAGCTAGCCCAGGGAACCTCTTAGATGTCCCTGCAGAGGGGATCTCAGAGACAGCGCTGCCTAGCCCCCACCCTTTGCACACACTTGTGCAAATGGATGAGCCCTGAGGAGTCTGCCCCACAGTGGTGACCCAGGGGTCCCCGGGGGAGGGTTGGAGTAAGGAGGAGCCGTCAGGCTGGGCCCCCAGCTGTGCCCACTGCAGAACTCAAGGGCTCTGAGGTCCACTCAGTTCAGCGGAGGTGGCCAGTGACTTACTGCGTCACTCAGATACCAGGAGGTGTCTGGGGCCACCTCTGGCCATCGTGACTGCTACCTGTTCAGTGCCACACCCCGCCTGGGGCCCCACCCTGAGTCTCCTGCCTGCCTGCCTGCCTGCCTCCTCCTGGCCTTCTGTCCTGCCTGCCCGCCTCCTCCTGGCCTTCTGTCCTGCC